TCTTTATTTTTCTATTTTATTTTTTATTGTTTTTTTTCATATCTTATTCAATTCGATGTGTGTTTTGTTTCTTTGTTTTAAAAACTTTTTTAATTGAACGATTTATGACTGAAGAAAAAGTAGAATTAGTGAGGACGAGATTCTATGACGTTGAGAGAAGTAACCATACTGCTTAACACTTTTCTAACACTCTCTACATCTTCTAGTTTACCACAATCAGAAATAGGGAATTTGAATTCCTTCAAAACAGTGTTGATTCTAAGAGCTTCAGCAATAGCCTTTAAACCATTCATACCAATAGAATTTCCATCCCAGTTGATTACCTGCAAGGTATCATTAACTGTAATTAAATTAGCTAAAGCAAAAGCCCCTTTATTACCAAACATATGATTACTACAATCAAATTCTCTAATTGTTCTGTTATTTGCTAATGCATCGAAAATTGGAACAATAGAAGTTCCTAGTTGTTGTGTTTGTTTCAAACCACCAGCAATTCTTAACTTTTTAAGACCAGTTCCTCCGTTAATCAACTTAACTAAGGCTTTAACTATATTGTCTTTATTTCCTTGATTGAATAAATTTTGAGATAAGTCTATTGACTCAATAATTGTATTTTGACATAATGACTCCAACAAATAAACCATTCCTTCTTCAGCAATTCCACAATCTGAAATATCCAAATGTTGAACTGATTCTAAACCAATAAAAACTGTGCTAAATGTTTTAACACTGTCAACGGTAAATTCAGATTGTCTTAAATGAATATTTACTTTTTCACTTCTAAATTCTTTAATAATATTTTTCAAGACATCTCCTGGTAAAATAACTCTGTTCATGATAACGCTTTCTAAATGATTACAACAATGAATGTATTCTTGGAGGTCTTGAGATGTTTTATCAATTACCTTTAATGAGAGTTTCATTCCAGAAAGGTCTAAAACTCTAAGCCCTTTCATAGTTTCAAGGAACCGTAACATAGAAGAAGTTTTAGGAACAGCAATGTCTCTAAGATAAATTTTTTCAAGATCAGGGAAGTTAATTGCAAATTGAGATGCAATAAATTCGATTCCAGCAGTTGTTAGTTTAGCACCAGAAATATCTATTTTTTTTAAATGTATTTTTTCATCCATTAAACGTTTCCAGTCTTGAATAAGAGCTCCTGACAATTTTTCTGAGTTAAGAACATTAGCAATGTAAAGAGATTCTAAGTTATATTTCGATACTAATGAACTTATTAAAATAATAGCCTTTTCATCTATGGAATTATCAGAAACATCAAGGACTCTTAAAGGATGATGTTCATTTTTAATATAACTTTCAATAAGACTTTCCCATCCCTTTCCAATATCAATATTTCTAAGTCTTAAAGATCGAATAACTTTATTAGTTCTTAGGTATTCTTTCAATCCATCAAAACATTTAATTAAGTTCATATTTTCTACTGTTACTTTAGTGAAATAATTATTTGATTGTAATGTAAAGAAAATTGGAATCAAATCTATTGCAGTCAAGTTATCTTCTTTTGAATTTAAATCACCGTTATAAAAACGTGACACTTTCATATGATGACTTTCTTTATCATGTTCTTTAGCATTTTCAATTGCCCATCTTACAGATTGATTGCAATTAAATCCTCTAAAAGTACATTGTGCCTCATAAACTCCAGTAAACCCACCGCATTTAGTAAATGTTCTCATTGAATAAATGTTGTTAAACAAATTCATTTGGTTTTGTGGAGCTTCAATTTCAAATAATAACTTTTCCTCAGGGAAACTTGACTTAAATGAACGAATCATAGAAATAATAATTTCATGACCTCTAGTTGTAGTACCAGTGAGTCGTTCGATTTTATCTCCTTTATTATTTTCAAAAGTAATAATGTCATCTTCAATTTTAACTTTAATAAGGGATAAACAATTAAATGAAGCTTCAATCTCTCCAACAGAATTTAAGAACCAAATGTTGTGTAATGAAACAATAATGAATCCATTGATTGTTTGTTCTTTCTTTTTTTTCTTTTTATCTCCTCCTTCATGCTCATTAATATCTATTTTTGCAATATAAACACCTTCTAATCCTTTTTCTTCCAAGAAATTTTTAATCAACCTTTGTTGGTCTAAAGTAAAATCAAACAAGAAGTCAAGTTTGTCTTTATGCTCTCCAATTGCAACCATAAATCTACAGAATTGCTCTGAAATATCAGTTGGAAACATTCTAATAATTTCAGCACTTTTATGACATAATTCCATATGTAATACAGAAATAGCTTCGTTAGAAATGTTAAGATTGTCATCTAATAATATTGTATATGGAAGACCTTGTGAAGAAATAATGAGAGATACTACTTTGTCATGAAATGGTTGAGTGTGACTCTTAAGAATAACATCTACTTTTTTCATATAATCAGCTCCTTTTCCTTGATATCCATTACCAATAATAAGGGTTTGAAGTACTTTAGATAATAAAGCTAAATTTCTTTTATTTTTCAAAGTTATTTGTTCGTTAGAACAAAGACCATATTTTTCTGGGTTCATTAATGCTTGAATGTAAAATGAGTTAACAATATAAATAGCAGTTAAATTGAGTCTAGAGTATTGTGACAGTTGTGGGAAATATTCTTTAATTAATTCTGAATGCATCTTGGCAATAATCTTTACACCGTGAGGTAATTGGTCCATTGTTGAATAAATAATTTGAAGAAGTTCATTTGTTTTTCTAATCAAACTTTGAGCATTTCTTTCGATAATCTTTTCATCTGTAATTTTATAATCATCAATTTCAAAATCTAACTTTTCAGCTAATAATTGACTAAAGTATTTTGAGAAATATCTCTTTATAAATGTTTTTCCTACTTTTAAAAAGAAACATTTAGAGACAATAGAAGCAACTGAATCATCCAAAAATAATTCTCCTTCACTTTGAGCATTAGAAAATTCTTCTCTTACAAAATTCATTAAAAACCAAACTCCTTTATGAATATAATATTGTAAGTCTAATGCTGCAGAAGCTAAAATTTCTTGTTTGTCTTGGTCCTCAAATAAAATAGGTAAAATATCTCTTGCATCTGTCATAATAAAATCAACAAAATTAATCATTACATCAATCTCTCTCTTTGAATAAACTACATCTCGTTCATCTACTTTTCCAGACAATGTTTCTTGTAATGAGAATTTCATTACAAATTGTTCTAATAGAGTATATTCTGTTTTAATATTATAGTCATAATATTCTTCACCAAGCTCTGATGACTGAGAAAAGTCTGAGTCAATGGAAGACGAATCATTATCTATGGATATAAATATATTTTCTTTTTGATAACTTTTTAATTTTAAAAATAACAAGGAACCAAACAATCACACATTTCTTTTCCTCTTTTAAATTTTAAGTATTTTCTTTTTAAGTTCTTCTGATTTTTTATTATCTAAAAATAGAATATAATTATGTGATGTATTACAAAATAAATACTATTGACTATCTTCAACTTCCACTCATAACGCCTAAATTAATAGGACAAAAAAGAATTTTACAAATAATAAATCAGTAATCAAATAAAATGAAATGAAAAGGTGTTGTTGATCTATTTAAGAAAATAAAGGTTAATTGATATGACTAATCTTATTTATAAAAGAACCAAACAATAACTTAGTCTTTATACATTTAATTATTATAATAACAATAATCAAATGATATTAACTTTTTATTTCTTTTATCAATTAGACGAATATTTTTGAATCACAGAAAGCCATTTACTAGATGAAACAGCTCCAGATAATGTCACTTGTTTACCATTACCAAATTCAATTATAAAGAATGGAACACCACTAATTCCCATTGAGTGCCAATTATTTATTTCTCTCATTACAATATCTTTATTTTCGTCACTAGTAATTATTCTTTTTGCAATAGTCAAATCTAATCCACATCGTTCAGCAGCTTCCATTAAACCACTTTGAATACTTAAATTTTTACCTTCTTCATAATTCATTTGGAAGTAAATTCCCATTAACTCATTCCCTTTTCCTATGGAATTAGCATAAATCATTAGTCTATGACAATGAAGAGAATAAGGCCAATATTTCCATTGTGCAAAATTACATCCATCTGTTTTAGAATCTCTGATCATTGAATAAGTCCATCCATCTCCACCCCATCTACGGACATTATATGCCATATACTCTTCACCATCTTTCTTTGTTTTCATATCAATAATATATGGATGATATTCATAACTGATTTTCTTATCTTTTATTGTTGAAATTGCGTTTAACATCCTTTTACGTCCTACATAACACCAAGGACAACTAACATCACTTATAATAGTAATATGTATTTTCTCCATTTAAGTATTAAATGACTTTTTAAGTTCTTAGTATCTTTTTAAGAAATTACAATTTACTTGAAGTTATTTTTCTTTTATCTCTTTGAAATAATAATTCTGTTAACAACTTAATATTAAAATGAGAAGTATCATTTAAAATGAATGTCTCTATTATATTTAAAATCAACTTTATTATCAAGTCATTTAGACTCCTTTCTATTTTTATAAAGATAATTTAGAGTCTGAAAATAAAAAGTTTCAAAGAAATTTTATATTTTTATTCTTTTAAAATTTTATTTCTATTATTTAATTTGATGAAAAGAGGGATATTATCTTTTTTTTCATTCATATTATTATATATGTAAAAATAACACATCTATTTATCGTCAATAACAAGATATTCATTATTTTTCTTTTTTTTTTAATAAACTTGTTGTAGTTTGAATTTATAAATGAATTGAGTTTTATACTTAATTAAATAACTTCCAATTTTTTATTGATTGTTTTATCAAATTTTATTATTATTTATTAAAGTTTATCAAAATACTTGTAAATTTACTTATTGAAATTCTTGATGAAATACATTTTAGTTAAAAGAATCTAAAACTATTTTGTTCTGTAAATTTAAATTCTTAAATATAAAAATTATACTAAATATATATTGAAATTAAACTTTTTTATTCATAAGAGTTTCAGAATAAAAACATTTACATTATTATTGTTTTGAATTATTGTTTTGATTATTAAATTTAAGTTTTGTTAAAAAAGTTTAACTGATTCAAAGAATTAAAATCAATTTACATTCTAATTATTGTTAAAACAAATTAATTACATTATACTTTTATCAAAATACAATAGAAGAAAGATAAAGAATTTAGAAAACAAAAGAATTCCAAGAAAGTTATTAATTAAAATGAAGTTTATATAAAAACTATTTTAACTTTTTTTTCATAATAGTATAAATAGATTCTGAAATTTATTTCAAGACAACTAAAAGTAATAATTATTGTTTAAATTTATTGTAAAAAATATCAAACAAAGCACTTTGAATCCGTGACAAAGAACTTTTCTTTGTATATTTACAAGACATTATTATCTTTTTCACTCATCATCAAAAAAGGGAAAAAAAGAATAAAAAACATATTTTAAAGCATTAATGTTTTAGAATACCACGTCACGAATAGTATAATCCACATCAATTGAATTATGATTCATTTAAAAAAAAACAAGAAAAAACCCTATTTTTTAAAACAAAAGAAAAGAAAAGAAAAAGAAAAATAAAAATGAACTTAAATAAAAAAATCATCAAATGCCAACAATTAGTTGTGATAGCAAATATCTTTTTAAATTAATTGGAAAAGAATTTAGTTTGTAAATAACAAATTATTTAACTTAGGTTAATATAACAAATAATATACTTAACAGCATAGCTGAAAAAGAATTTGATGAAGTATGTTTCCAATATGGAATTGAACTTGATGATGTTGTTGAAGAAGAAGGAAAAACAATATACAAAATTGAAGTTGGAGCAAATAGATATGATTTGTTATGTGTAGAAGGAATTGCTATTTGTTTAAAAACATTTTTAAAAATGAGAGAATTTCCAAAATATACAGTAAAATCAGTTTGATAGAAATATTACATAAATAATAGAAAAAATAAAAACTAATAAAAAATAGAGTGGAATTCAAATTCATGTTGGTAAAGACGTAGAAAAAGTTAGACCAATTTGTATGGGTGCAGTGTTAAGAGGAATTACATTTACAGAAGAAAGTTATAAGAGTTTTATTGATTTTCAAGATAAATTACATCTTACAATTGGAAAGAAGAGAAGTTTAGTTGCAATAGGAACACATGATTTATCAACATTAGTTCCACCATTTAGATATGTTGCAATGAAACCAGAAGAAATTAAATTTGAACCATTAAAATGTGATCATGAAATGACAGGAAATGAAGTTATTGAACATTTTTCAAATGACCTTAAATTAAAAGAGTATGTTCCATTATTACAAGGAAAAGAAGTTTATCCAGTCTTTTTAGATAGTAAAAATATAGTTCTTTCACTTCCACCTTTAATTAATGGAAATCATTCTAAAATTACATTAAATACACATGATGTATTTATTGATATTACTGGAATGGATAAAACTAAAGTTATGATGGCACTTCAAACGGTTGTTACATGCTTTTCTCTTTATACTTCAACTCCATTTGAAATTGAAACAGTAGAAGTTGTTGGAGGACCAGTGAATGAATTTGATGATAAAAAATCAATTCATACACCAATTTTAGAAGAACAACATATGAAAGTATCAAAAGATTATTTAAATCAGTCATTAGGATTAGAATTAAAAGATGAAGAAATTACAGAATTATTACATAAAATGGGAATTCAATATTCTAATGGAGAAGCTATTATTCCACCAATGAGAACAGATGTAATGCATCCATGTGATATTATGGAAGACCTTGCTATTTCATATGGATTTAATAATCTTCATGCTTCAAATACTATAAGTAGAACATGTGGTAAAGAGTTATTACAAAATAAATTGAAAGATTTATTAGCTGATGAAATTGCATATGCAGGATATACTGAAGTTATTACTTTTGTATTAATGTCAGTAGCTGATGCAGCTACAAATTTAAGAAGACCAGAAGAAGGATTAATTAAATTAAAAGATTCAAAAACACTTGAATTCCAAACAGCAAGAAAAAGTTTATTATCAGGAATGATGAAATGTTTATATTATAATAAAGCATATCCAATGCCAATTAGAATGTTTGAAGTTGGTGATACTGTCTCATTAAAAGAAGGTAGTTTAACAGGAGCAGTTAATAGACAACAAGTATGTGCTTTAGTCTGTTCTCCAACTGGGTTAATGGAAGAAATTCATGGATTATTAGATAAAATTATGTTCTGTTATGGTGTTGGATATAAAAAAGCAAGAAAAGAAAATGGACCACATTATGATATTGTTCCTGGTAATGACCCTGCTTACATGGAAGGAAGAAGAGCTGATATTATGATTAATGGAGTTAAATATGGTATGTTTGGTGTATTACATCCTGAAGTACTTAAAAACTTTGAAGTTGATAATCCTGTTGTTGCATTGGAACTTTATCTTGATTTTCCTAATGGAATTTAATTTGAAAATGAACTTCGTTTAAAATGTTTTTGTTTCTTTTTACTTTGTTTTAATAGTAAAGTTCTTCTTTATCATTTCACTTTT